GGGGAGGGTCAGAGGGAGAAGCAGGCTCCCTGCCGAGCAGGGAGCCCAACGCGGGACTCGATCCAGGGACTCCAGGATCATGACCTGAGCCGAAGGCAGTCACTTAACCAACTGAGCCACCCAGGCGCCCTCTCCCTCTAATCTTTAAGGGGAAAAAAAAAAAGAATCTGAGTAACACTGGATGAATTTCTTCTTCCCTAGCCTATGGATCAGGACGCCACATGGGAATGGACCCAAAGTACCCAAAGGTAAGTAATTTCAATAGAAAATGCTTTGGTAAGTATTTCTGGGTTACTTATGTTTACACACAACAGAAAATGTCACCAGTTTGACATAATAAGTTACAGAAAGAGACCAGAGCTGGCATCAGAAGGAAAAGCTATCTGGGAGCCCTTACAAAGTTGCTTCATGTTACTGGCATTTCCCTTCAGCATCTAAAAGCATTTTTTAAAGGCCAAAAAGATATTCTAAACAATTTTACTGTTGTCAAAGTATCATTTTTCAGGACAAAAAAAAAGACAAATGTTTAGCAAATTAAAATAACATACCTGAAAACCCAGAAGAGGATGGGGAGGACAGGATTTAGAGACCCACGGACGGTCTCTGCACTCCCACCACATCATGGGAAAGTCACGGACTCACTCTGAACCCAGAACTCCAGAAAATAACCTGTCCCTTTATATTAGCAAGTAAGATCATGCACATGAAATATATTAGGGAGTTAAAAAGAACATATACATATAGACACATGTAATGCTAAAAACCAACTCCATTTGAAAGAAGTTCCAAAATGATATTGGAGCTACTCTAAAATGAGTTCTGATCCTCTGAGAACCTAAAAAATGCAGTCCATTTTGGTACATGGAATGTCACTGTATAATGCAAAACAAATTGTGATGAATTTCTCATAAAGGAGAAAAATGAAAATGAATTTTCCAAAGACCTTTAAAGTCAACTCAGTTGCTGAGTAGATTTTATATACCACTTTCTAGAGAAATCTGAATTACTTTTTTAAAGAAGTTCATATATGATCGAAGTCACCAAATGAAAAATTTTTAGAACACCAAATCAAAGGTGAAACTAGTTTAATGAAGAACACAAATGAATTTTTAACCTTAATAGTTATAATTCATATAGTAAAAACTAAATAACAGATTATTTGAAAATTATATCTAATTATGTCTACGTGTCTTTTATTTAAAACCTGTTTTTAAAACATGTATAGAGTTACATATTTATTGTGCAACTCAGCCCACTGTGAATTTTGCTGTTTATATATGTATATCCCCATTTTCCTATTGAAAAATGAGATGATACACTAATAAGCATTCACTAAAAGAAAAAAACTTGAAGGAAAACTATGTAAGTTTTCTATTGACCCATGACAAATCACACATATTTAGTGGCTTAAAACAACACAAATATATTCTCTTAGTGTTCTGTAGGTCAGAAGTAATGCATGGGTCTCACTAGGCTAAATTCAAGGAGTTGGCAAGGTTGCACTCCTTTCTGGAATCTCCAGGGAAGAAATCATTTCCTATTCATTCAGGTTACTGGCAGTTGGGGAACAAAATAAAACAAAAACAAAACAAAAAAAACCAAGGTCTCCTATTTTCTTGCTGGGGGCCATTCCCAGCTTCTGGGGGCTACCACATTCCTTGGATCAGGCCCCTTCCCCCAACTTCAGCAGCAAGTAGCTGGTCAGGTCCTTCTGGTGTTGAATCTTTTTGACCTGTTTCTCATCCATCTTTTCTCCTTCTAATTATGTGTGATTACATTAAGCCCACCCAGGTAATCTAGGATAATATCCCCATCTCAAGGTCAATAATCTTAACCATACTTCAAAGTCCCTTTACATTGTGAGGTAAATAATGTTCTGGGAACTAGGATATGGATATCTTACAGGGGGAGGAGGGGAGTCATTATTTTGCCTACCACAGAAATATTACTTAACATGCAAGGACCAGATAGTTTCTATGTTATTTAAATTCCCCCAGGGCATTAAAGATGGAGGTGATTTAAATTCACATTATGAGGCCACCATACCCTAATAACAAATCCAGTCAAGAATAATATCTAAAAATGAAATCTACAAACTAACCTAATTTGTGTCAACACAAATGCAAATGGCTTTACTATAATGTTAGTAAATCAAATACAGCAGTGCATTAGAAAAGTAGAACATGATTAAGAGAGTTCACTTCAGGGTGCAATGAGTGTTCAATGTTAAGAAATATATCCATATAATATGTTCATCCAAGTTATTAACAGTTTAGAGGAGGAAAAATACAAAACCATCTCAAAAAATACTAAAAATGCATTTTGCAGAATTTATCAGACATTATTAAAAACTCTTACGAATCTAAATCTAGAACTTTGTAAACCTGAATCTGAATCCATTGGAAACCAACTGTAAACATACTTGGTGAAACACTAGACATTTCTGCTTAAAATCAGGAATAAAGCATAAGCTGGATTCTGAAGTAATGATTTCACTTACAGGAAAACATCCTTCCCTCCAAATATTGCATAACACATGGGAATATATGTAACATCAATAGGGGAAGTTAGATGAAATACATCCATGCTATAAATAAAAGGAAATGAGATAGGTGTTATATTCTTTCTTATAACCAGATATGGTAAAATATCTGTAATACTGTGAAGTTAAATAATATTTCAGTGGACATGACTTTTTATTTTGAAAATGTGTATGTGCTCTGTTTATGTATTCATATATTCAAGACTAAGTTTGGAAAGAATCTTATTAAATGAATGATTATTATCTCTAGGGATGGGAACGGGATTTGGGTAAACGAAGGCAGATTTTGAAATTTACAGCACAACTTCTACATGTTTTGCCTATTTAAGAGAAGTTAAATAAAATGTATAATAAGTGAATACATAAGGTAATATAATTAAAATGTACAATAAATAATACATTAAAAAGTTGGCCCATGGAGTTTTATATTTCAAAAATTTCTCAGGAAAAAAAAAAACCTAAGATTTTTCTCCCCGCATTTAAGTCATTCAAGAAACTACTGTTAAATACCTGTCCTTCAAAATAAAAGAAGATATTAAAGGTTGTGGCTATTATTTCATTTAAAAACAACAACCACCACCACCACCTTATGGGGAGCCTGGGTAGCTCAGTTGGTAAAATGTCTGACTCTTGATTTTGGCTCAGGTAATGATCTCAGGGTTGTGAGATGGAGCCCCACACTGGGCTCCCCCACTCAGTGGGGAGTTTGCTTGAGAGTCTGTGTGTCTCTTCCTCTCCTTTCCTCCTCCCCCCATTCGTGCACACTTGCTCTCTCTCTAAAATAAATATTTTTAAAAACCACACAAAAAAACTAAACAACAAGAAAGAAGTATACTGCAACCTCACAGCTGTGACCTCAGAGGGTAACACATCTGCTTAGTTTTCATGTCTTGGTAGGTTATTCTCACAGACAATTTTTCACACATTGCTAAGGATATACTGGTAGATAAGGCGTCAGTCTTCCCATCTAGGGAAGAACAAATACTGTGTTTAAGAAGCAATTTCTTTGATAACAAAGACAGGAATTTGGCATTTGACAAGATTAGCCTTACCATTTCCCCATAACAGAAGTAATAGAAGGTAACTTTTCTAAAATAAAAATGGTAATAGATCAGATCTAAAAATTGATTTAAAAAATACTATATATATGTTCAAAGTAAATTTCTAGGAAAATTAATAACCTAAAAATTTCATTGAAGATGTAACAAACAAATAAATTTAAGTGACCAAATTCCTATCTTTGTGAGGATTTATCAATCTTCCCATAAACAACTTTACTCTTGTTCAGTTGTACGTAGATGCACCTTTGTTTTCCAAAATAGATTTGCTTCTGAAATTTTGTCAAAAAATAATAAAGTATTTTAAATACACCAAAAACACTGAATCTATTTGGAAATATAATTTCAAATTATCATTCATGGCAATATTGAAGTTTATTTAGCCTGAGAAAGATATTAAAGCACATATAGCCTTAAAAAATAATAAGGTAGCTAATAAGATAATTCCATTTTCATTTACCAATGTCACCAAAATTAATTGTTCTCAAGTAGGTAACTTTTATCTTTCTACTACATTCATATTCCTCTATTTTGATCAACCTGTATCATAGCCTTTATATCACTACTTATCAAATTTTATATCAGATACATATAAGGCAGCCATTAAAAATGCAGTTCCCTGGGCTTCAGCCCCTAATTCTGATACATTAGGACTGAGAT